CTGTTGCACCTCAGCCTCTCACAGAAAAGCACCCCCCAAACGCAGCCCAGTGCCTACCTTGATACTCCAGCTTCCTCTTCTCCAGCTCCGCCTCGAGCTGGTCCAGCACCATCGCCAGCTCACCAAGGATCTTCTTCAAGTAGTTCACGTTGTCATGCTCCAGGATCTTGGCCTGGGTGGAGAGTAAGGTTAGGATGGACAGATGGACATGAGTCCTTGCAACTGTGCAGGGACATGAGGCAGCAGGTGCCCATGGGAGGTCCATGGGTCATGTCCCCCACCACCAACGAGATGTGTGTGACTTTGACCAACTTACCATGAGCTTCTTCTGCTTGGAGAGGTAGGGCTCTGATAGCTGCGGCTCCTCTTCGTGGTCCAGCTTCATCAGGTCTGTGCTGGCATTAGCTAAATGTCCTGGGGGGAGACAGAGAGAGGGGCTGGGTGGGGGGCGCTGTATTTGGCAGGGGTAGGGATGACCTTGTGCCTCTCTCTGTCTCTTCTTGTTTTAAGAACATCCCTGAGCTTTCCCATAACCTGGTTCCTGCGGCTCCATCCCCAGCAGGTTGATCCTTTGGGATGTCTGAGCTTGCTGCCCACGTGTGGGGGTGCACGGGGCAGGGAGCAGCAGGGTAGGGGATGCTCCCTCCCAAATGAAGCTGTCCTGCCCCAACTCAGTGTCAGGGGTGCAATTCAGCACAGAGCTCATTGCAGGTGTGGGAAAGATGCCCACCTTCCTCCCTCCCATGACATGGGGAGGACATGAAGGGCTTTGTGCAAGGGAACTGATGGAGGGGAAGAAGCAGAGTAAATGGAAGAAGAGAATACGAGATGCAGAGTAGCCCCTTAGGGACAACATAAATTACCCGAAGCTGGGCCAATCTCTTCCTGTCAGCCCCCATCTGCCTTTCTGTCCTTGTTCCCTCCAACAAGGGCTTGGCTCTGCCAACACCCAGGCTGAGAGGTGCCAGGGTGTGCAAGGGAACTGATGGAGGGGAAGAAGCAGAGTAAATGGAAGAAGAGAATACGAGATGCAGAGTAGCCCCTTAGGGACAACATAAATTACCCGAAGCTGGGCCAATCTCTTCCTGTCAGCCCCCATCTGCCTTTCTGTCCTTGTTCCCTCCAACAAGGGCTTGGCTCTGCCAACACCCAGGCTGAGAGGTGCCAGGGCTGGCTGGGACTGTATGCTGCCACAAAATGGTGAAATTCCTTGTTTTCCACCACAAGCCCTGAAGCTCCTGCTTGCTAAGGCTCCCAGCCAGCTGTCCTGGGGCTATATCTCAGAGGAAAACCTGGATCTCACCCAGGTTTCAGTCTCCTGTTCCCCTGAGAGAGCCTGGCCCTCACTTCACCCTTTCCTTGGGACACAACATGTGGATTTGCCTCAGCACCCACTGTAATGGCGCAGTGCGGCCATCACGTGTGTATAGCGGATGTGCTGGGGAGGAAGGGCACCACTGGCACTGGGGCACTCCATGGATCTGCCACAGCCCCTCCTTTTTGGAGACTGGGGAAAAATGCCACCAGTGAGGAGGTTTGGGCAGCAAGATATTTTTAAGGACCTCAGCAGAGCAGGGGCAGGGGTGCAAGGCAGGCAGCTCTGAAGCCATCACAATGGCACCCTTTGGGGAGGGGATGGGCTCTGGGGGCGGGGGTGATGCTCACGGCATGGGTTCAGCCGCATGTGCAAGATGCCAGCAGAGGCAGGGCATGGTGTACACCTCAGGAACAGCCTATTTCTCTTTGTGCATGAGTGCATCCCATTTTGGAGTGACCATCTGTGACCCAGGCAGCTGAAGGGACAGTGGTGGGGGAATGATGTTTGCTATGGGAACAGAGCCTAAAGGAGGGAAGAGACGTGGGGCATGCTGGTGCCCTCTGAACAAGGGCACTTTTCTGGCAAGCAATCCTTGCCGTTGAGTTATATTAAGCACTGTCAATGTTTCATGAGTTCTTGAAGGTCAGGTACACAGTCTTATGCCAATTCATCCACTATCTGCAATTCAGTCTTGCTGTAGTCGCCCACCTGTGCCCACAGAGCTGTTGGAGGGAGAGGGGACATGTGGGAGAGGGAGAAAATTCACGTGCCCCAAAAAGAGCTGGGTGAGAAGCGTGCATGGCCCATGGGAGCTCAGACACCTCTGGGGCTAGGAAGCCTCCACAGGGTGCCTGCAGCTCCCAAATAGCTGTGTTTTGCTGTTTCACAGCTCTGTCACTGTGTGTGTCAGTGGAAAGGGGAGATGAGCAAGAAGAGGGTGACTAGATGGGCTGCGGAGCCAAACCGAGCCTAAAGGAAGGTGGCAACAGCCTTGGGCAGCCCCCAGGAGAGGCGACTTACTGCGGATCTCAGCGGTCGCGTACTTTGGGATCATGGAGTCGGTGGTGAGCTCGGGGTGCAGGATGCAGCCATGTGTGTAGGCGTCCATGGGTAGCGAGTCCAGCAGCTCCCGGTACTGCAGCACCCGTGAGTGCAGCAGGCTGCCCGGCTCAGGGATCAGCTGGGTGACGTTTTCTGAGGGGGCAAAGGGAAAGGTGTCAGCAGAACACTCACTAGGGGCTCTTTAGCCTGCATGGGACACCAGTGTGTGGTCCTGGCTTGAGCTACCGCTGAGCAGGGACATGTACGCACATCATTACCCAGCGCCACTGCCCCAGTGTCCCCAGGAGCTCGGCATTGCAAACCCTTTGCCTCTGCAGCCCTGGATTTGGACGCTGTGGTTTCACATCTCTCAGAAAAGGAACAAAACCTTCCCGTTCTGCAGAAAAGAGCTACAGCACGGAGAATTCAAGTTTGGGATCTCCTGAGTTACGCACTCATTACACCAATGTGTAATACAGTGATTCTGTGATTCAGTGGCAATGAGGCACCTAATTTTCTTGGGCTTCCTTGAAAATCCCGTTCACAAAGGATATTCAGGAAGCTGATGACCAAAGAAGGAACCCAGCACATTTTCCCCCATGCTCAACCGCTGCCTCAGCCGCAGGAGCATCCCTGGCCCTGGCCGGCTCTTCTCCTCCTCACCTTGTTGGGTTTTATTCATCTTTTGTGCATGGCAGTTTGTATCCTGCTCTTTTTATGGCACTTCCAGCTCAAAATGCACAGGAGATCACACCACGAGGAGAGAAATGTTGCTCTTGTCTCCCCTAAGAACACCAGCTCCATTTTTATATAGGATCATAAAAGTTTACGGCATTTTCAGATAGCAGTTAATAGGTAGTGAGTAAATTTATCACCGGGACTCAGTAAAGCTGATTGCCCACATGCCGTCCGCAGTGCAGGTAGTAACACACACCAGCATCTCAACATGAGTTCAGGCACATTGACAGGAGGACTTGGGCAAACATGGCCAACACGGCTCCTAAATCAAGGTCCCAAAATGACGGTTCTGCCCAGTCCCACTGCCTGAGGCTGTGGGCACAGCCTGGCAATGCCCACCCAGCAGAGATGCACGGTTTGGCCTGCCCCAGTTCCGGCACCACTGTGCCTGCTGCACCTGTGGCTGGACAGGAGTCAGGGAAATTTTGGCAGCTCCTGTATCGCAAACCTCTTAACAGCTCTGATCTGGGGATGTCTCTGCTGGTGGGCTCCATAAAATTATTCTAACTGATGGGTATCAGCATTACTGTCCCCTGAGCAAGGGAACGTTTTGGTAGCTGCTTCTTGCCAGCTCTGCCTGGCCTCCAGCCCCCTCCAAGCGGGGATTTTCCATCCGAGAAAAGCGACTCGCTGAATGAAATAATAATAACTGACCCATAGCCTGAATGCTTCTTCCACAGGCTCCCAGCCAGCACCTGACAGGCTGGTGCTGAGGCTGGAAACCAGAAACCAGCACATCCAGAGTGACCGCCCTGTCCGGCAGTGAGACAGAGCAACCACAATGAAATAGCGGCGTATTGGCCACTGGCCCATGTCTTTCAGCACCTCCCAGGGAGTTTTTTTTGGTGGGATGGCACTCGCTCTGCCTTTGCATACCACGGCAAAAGCATACTGCTGTCGCATATAGATGGCCCATGCAAGATGCAGGATTGGGGGAGGCTCAGAAGGATGCGCTGGGGGCTGCCACCCTTGAAGGAGCCCCTTGCCCAGGCTCTGAGATGCATTGCCACCAGCCAACCCAGCAGTGGTTTCTTGGCACTGCCGGGCCATGCCCTAGAGGGAGAAGCACCCTCAAAAGTGGCTTATTTGCACTATTAACTGCTTTTTGGGTGAAAAAAAACATTGCTCATCACATCACCCTCTACTGATAGCTGCCCCTGAACGTGCATGTAAGCAAATGTAAAAGGCCATGCTTCCAGCCCAGGGGAAAACATAACACAGTGAAAACACCTTCTTGTAAAGGCACATTCAAGCTCTGCACATTTCTACAAGCTGAGTGATTTCCCTTCAGACCAACGGTTTTGCCAGCCAGCAGTGGTGGGCTCAGGGCACAGCAAGCAGCAGGGAGTGATGCTCCAGATCCTCTTCCCTAGAGCTTCCCCTCCCCATTTCTCAGCAACAAGGTAAGAAATTGCACCTGGCTGGACAATCTCAGTGACAGGAGTTTCCCAGCGCATGGGCAGCGCTGTGTCCCCCTCCTGCTGGGGACAGCCTGTTGTCACATATGCCAGACCACCTGCCCTTTGCAGAGACCGGGTGATGCTGCTGCATGGTGCAGGGATCACAGAGTGACACTCCCCACTGCTCCTTGGCCCCAGGGCTGCCACTGGGCAGGGCAGTCACTGCCATTACCCAGGAACCGCTGTCAGATCCTCCTGACCTACACCATCCCCATGGGCTCCTCCTGACCAACCCCCAACCCCACTGCCCTGCCAGTGAGTGAGCATCGTGTGTCTGCCAAGCAGCAGCACCACAGCAGGGCTGGGAGAGGACAGCAGCTGAGCTGGCAAGACGCCCTTGCTTCAGGAGCTATTTTGAGATGTTTTTGATGTCTCTGTTGCAAGGGGGATGGATGCTGGGGCGGGCGTCGTGATGGCCCAGCCCGAGCTCCCAGCTCAGCTTTGAAGCCTCCCTGGTGAAGCGTCCCAGCCTGACAGTCCACAGCTCTGGGGAAATGAGGGCAAAGGGACGCGAGATGCCGGGGAGAGGCTGCTTGCCGCAGCGGCCCTGCAAACAGCTGCTTTCCGGTGCTGTCTCAGCATCCCAGGCTCGTCTGGCCACTGGCTGCAGCCCTGCTCCAGGGGAAATAGGAGTCCCTCTCCTGGCTGTCCCTTCCTCTGTCACATCATCCTGTGTGGTCCCCAGCACTGCCAGCTTTGTTTGACTTTGAAGAGGTGGTTTTCTTGGAGGCACAGTGGCACAGGGGATGGCAGGGTCCCTTGCCCATGGCCAGTGGCACAGGGTTCATTGAGGAAGGGGAGAGGAGCAGCAGCACTCAGCTCAAACCCACCTTCTCTCAGTGGGGCCACTTACTGGGAGTTACTGGGGTTTTTACACTGTTATCCCAGGCCAAAGTACAAAGGTGGCCAAACCCAGAAGCATTTCCACAGCCATGCCCCAGCCACAGCTCTGGTGAGATGCCACTGTACACCATGGGGATGGGGGGAAACAATTTGGCTTGGGAATCTGGCCTTCAAGGCAGAAAAAGGGGGGAACACAGCTATGTCTCCCCCGCAGAGTCCTCCAGCAGTACTTCCAAGTGACATTTGGGGATTTCTGCTGAAAATCCTTCATTTTCATGGGAAAATGTGTAAGTTTGGGGAGAGCTGGTGGCTTGTTGCTCTTTTGGGGCAAAGCCGAAACTTTCCATGCAAAAGTGGGTGCATTTGGCAAACAGCATCTGGATTAGACTCGAGTTCCTCCCCAAGACACAGCCCCCCCATACCTCCTGTGAAATTCTTCTCCATGTAGTCAATGATCTGGTTGTAGTCACTGATGATGTTGTCCCTGTGGATGATGACGGGCACCTCCTCCCCCAGGTTGAGCCGCATGAACCAGGGCTCCTTGTGCTCCATCAGGGGCATGCTGACATCTCGTTCCTCGCAGGGCAGCCCCTTCTCCGCGATAACCAGCCGCACCTGGGGCAAGAGGCCAGGGAGAAAGGGCTCAGCCCCACAAACCAACATGGCCCCTCCGCCACCCTATCACACACCCTGGCCCTCCCCTGCTGCTTAAGCACGGGACAGACCTCGTCCTGCGAGAAGTCAAGCAGCTTTTGGCAAAATCCAGGCAGCCAAGTAAGGAATCACCTTCCCAGCAAACAGGAGAGACCCAAACCCATCCTAACTTTGCAGGACCTTGGGCCATCCTCTCTCTGGTTGCTGGTGGCCTATGCAACTGTCGGAGGGGCTGGGAGCCCATCCCTCACAGCAGGTGGAGGGAGATGGGAGCTCCCCAGCTGGGCGGGGATCAGTGATGTTGCTTCATTTCCTAGTATAGCCCAGCACACACCTGAGGAGGAGGGGAGGGTTGCAGTAATCCTATGCTCTGCTCCCAGTGGGTGCTGTTGCTTGGCTGAAGGAGGCTTGGATGCAAACTCAGGTATGTCCTGTGTTTGGGGGTGGGCTCTGGCTTTACCTGGGCCTGTTTTGTGCAGGGCCTCAGGCAGCCTCTGCATGGTGTCCTTCCTGCTCCATGGTGCTGCCAGCCTGGGGGCATGACCTGCCGCCTTCGCACCTCTTGTGCCAAACCTGTGGCCTTTCCTGCCACTTCCTCCAGCCTTGGGCCAGCAATGGCATTGCTGGGAGGGGGACATCCACCTGGGGGGGCACCAAAAGCTGAGTCCAGTGGTGTGGAGGGGCAGGTAGAGGCAAGAGCGGGGCCTGGAATGTGGGGCACTGTCCCCATTGCCTGTGGCTGGCCCTCGGGGTTGATCCTGCTGCATATGCACTCAGGGATGGCATTTTAGGCTTCTGGGTTATAAAACCTGACTGTTATGAACTAAGTATGTCAAACAGGTAAAAAAAAACCCTTGGGGGATGTGAGACAAACACATTTTACAGAATCACTGAATGAGTGAAAAGCACTTGTTTTCTTCTAACTAGCAGCAGCTAAAAATACAACTTAACAAATATAAGCATTTCTATGAGTACTTCAGAGTTCCTGCAAAATTAGTCATTAATTATTTACAGGGCTGGCAAATTAATTTTTTTCTTTCAAAGTCAAACAAGGGAAAGCCTGGGTCCCTCAACTGCAACTTGCTCTCGGCCTTTTCCTCCCAGCTGATGGATGAACCTGGGGCAGGACCACCCCAGGGCAGCCATCTCCAAACTCCCAGTGCTTCCCTGTTCTGTTACGAAGAGCCAAGGCCCAAGGCCTGGCAGGAGGCAGTGCAGGCAGGAGGGCTTGGCTCCTGGGGTAACCCCATGCCTGTAGGTGAGGGCAGCCCCTGCCAGCATTCCAAGGAGGGGTCCCAGCCGGGGCGAGGAAATGTGCCTGGGCTCCCTAGCTGGTCCCTGCAGTGCTGCTGTGGCTGCCATGGGGGATCTTGTGTAAAAATCCAAAAATCTGGCTGTAAAGCTCAAAGAAATCCCTTTGCAGGCAGGGCTAGATCCTAGTGGGGGGCCCCAAAAGGTGCCCATGGAGGCTGCTCCAAGCAGCTCCCAGGGCAGAGTAGGAAAAGCTTCACCTGCAGCCATCTCCAAGCAAAACCACTCTGCAGTGGGGGCTCCAGTGCGGCCCCCACCCTGCAATGTCCATCACAGCAGCCCGGGCTCGGCTGCCTTCCAGCAATAGCTCAAAAGCAAAGCCTGAAGTGGTGCGAGGTGGCCCTGTGGCTCTGGGTGCCCTGTCCCCAGCCCTGCAGAGGGGAACTCAGTTCTAGGAAACCCCATACAAGAAGTGTCTTAACCACTGCCTCCCTGCTCCTGGTGGCCAAACGAGCAAGACAAAAAGCAGTAAGCCCGGCACAAGGTGGGGGAGCCGGGACGAGCATCCCTCGCCGGTGCAGACCAGAAGCCCGTTAGTCAACCCGCTGCTGGCAACGGTGAAGCCGACCATGTGCAGCCACGCTGCTGCATTGGGCATCCTCCCCTTCCTTTGTGCCCGCAAGCAGCAACGTGCGTGTCTTTGCCCCTGGCATCTCCTGGCCTCCCCACTGGGCTGTGGGGCTCGAGGGGACCCCTGCACTGAGTGAACTTTGTGTTCCCCCCCGCTCCGAATAGCCTATTCCCCATGTAATATTAACAGCATGGCAATAACGAGTGTGTTGGGGCTAGGAGAAGAAGGTCAGGTTTGCTATACAGCTGCTGTGCTGCACAATAAGCATTTACAATTGCCTGGAAAATGTGCTTTCCCACTGAGGCACCCTCGGAATAGGATTTCCAGGGCACTGCTGCAATGTCAGGGGTAAATCATTGCTGCGTGCCAGGGTCTGCTCCTTGGAAGGAGCCCGGTTTGGGGGCTATGTCCCCCTCTCCCGGTGGCAGAGTGGTCCCAGGGCTTGGCTCAGCCTTTGTCTGCGCCCCTGGCCACTCCAGGGGGACTGTGAGTGAACACAAAGCCAAGGCAGCTCCCGGTGCAAGCCATGATCCCAAAGCAAAAGCAGGATTTGGCCGAGCCCCCCCCCCATCACCTCCCCAGGCAGATGCTGTTGAAAGGCAGAACCGCAGGTACAAAAGAGCTGCCTGGCCACACGTTGCTGCCCTCGCCCCCTTGGGGACCAGCCCCTTGCTCTCCCCACCAGTGCATCCCCCCTCCCTAGGCAAAGGGATGCCCTGGGGACCGGAGGCGAATCTTCCCCATGAACCCAGCTGAGCTATTATTATTTTTTTTTTTTTTACCTTTTGTGAGCTGAAGGACTGGGTCCAGTGGTACAAAACCAGTCTGTCCTGGGATTTGAGAGCGGGGTCTGTTGGGTCCTGGTTTTCCTCCCCCTCCGTGGATTTCCCTGCGTCGTTCTCCAGCGCCGAGATGGGCCACCAGCTGCAGTTGGTGGGAGTAACATTATTGGGAGTCGCCATGACAGCCTGTGAGCGAGCGGGGAGAGGGACGGGGAGCGAGCGGCGCTAGCCCAGCATCACATGGGCTCCCGCCAGCAGCATCACTCCCGGGGCAGCTCCATCTCCCAGGCTGGGGTGTGCAGCTCAGGCCGAGGGTCACGGGAGAGGGTGGCGGCAGCGGCGGGGGCAAATTCGCAGCCCGTCCCCGCTCGTGGCAGGGCTCCCACGGAAACGTGCGGGCATCGTTTCAGTGGGCGAGGCGGCGGCTCAGCAATCCGGGGCAGCTCCAACCCCTGCGGCTCCTCAGGAATATTTTGCAACAGAGATGAAGATTATTTTTTTTTTTTTACCGGTTTAGATATGACAGATAGGTAATAGATACATTGATGGATACTGGCTTTAAAATGCTTAGCGGGTGGTTTGCCTGCCTTGCAGCCTTCATGGAAAGGAGCAGCAATGGCTCTTTAAGGGTATTCAAGGATTTTTGGAGAGCACAGGTTAATTACAGCCTAATAGTTGTTGCACAGCCTGTACTGGAGTAGAGCCCAGGAGTCCTCACTGTGTATCAGAGCCCTGGGGTACCACACCAAACTGGGTGAGACCCTCTGCACCAATGCAGGGGGTCATTTCCAAAATTAGCAAGGCGTGTCACAATTGGAAACCGCCCGAGTTTCCGCTGCTTGGAGAGCACTGGGGCTTCCATAGGTGCTGCTCACTGGGCGCTATGAGCATCACCCAGAGGTCTGCAGGCAAACGCCTGTAGGTAGCTGGCACATTTTGAGAGACAGAGACCTGGACATGTGGGCCTGTGCTTTATGTCAGGTGGCTTCATCATGCTCTATCTCCAGCAATATGGCAGCCTGGGGATAATTTCCCATGCATGGGACTAGCTGCCAATGCTGCGGGGTAAAACCAGCATGGTTATGGGGCCAAGTTGTGGAGAGGATGGAGGAGCGGGCTCTGCAGGCTTGGTCCTGGGGCTGCAAGAGGGCTCTGAGTACTAGTGTGTCTCCTCCATGCATTGTTCCCATCTTCCACCTGTGACGGAGCTTGTGATGTTGTCCCAGGTGTGGAGGGAAAGAAACAGAGGAGGGGTTGGGAGAGCTGATTCAAGTGGGGAAACTGAGGCATATTTTGCCCAAGAGCACTGGGAGGGAGTACAGCCAAAATGATACTCAGCTGCTTGAACACAGTGAAAGGAGCAATTTTCTTAGGGTTGGGAGGTGCAAATGAATCTCTTGGTGTTGAGATGTCCTGCTCCCAAGGGTGTGCAGGAGGGTGATGGCAGAGCGGTGAGGCTGGGAAGTACTATGACCTGTCCTACCTTCTCCTCCATAGGCAATAGTCTCCAAAACCATGCTCTCTCCTCAGCCCAGGGCTTCCCAAGTGCTCCAAGAGACCCCATGCTGGCCTCAAGGACACCCACAGGGAAAGGCTGTTGCTTGGCCTCTGCTTAGAGGCTACAGTCAGGGCGGTGGCCTATGCTGTTGCAAACTCAGTGCAAATGGGGCTTTGAACAAAAAACTGGCCCCATCGCATGGTGCTGCCCTGCCCTCTGTGCTGAAGCCTCCCCTCCCGCCTGCTTCGCATAGGACAGCCCTCACTGCCCGGGAAGTATCTTTTAGGGCTCCTTTCACTGGAAGGGGACACCTCTGGGTTTAGGATAGGAAAGGAGCATCTTGACCAAGCAGAAGCTGTTCTCCCCTGCAGGTAGCTGTCCAGAAAGCCCCATCTAGCAGCGTATTTTGTAATGAATTAATGCCGTGCCTTTGGGAATAAAAAAATAACAAGTCGCTGCATGCCTCTGCATCCTGCAGGTACACGATGCTTCTGGAGGGACTTGGTTTTTTAGCTGGGTTTTGGCTTGCTAAACTAAGCAAGACTTGAGGGGCAAGATTGGTGCCAGCCCCCTTTAGGGGTGTTCTGACCTTATGTGACCTTGAGATCATCCCCCACCTGTTGTCCCCAGCCTCCCCACCTGCACGAGACTGAAGCTGGGCTGTGCTGTGAGATGCTGCGAGGCCAGACACAGTGGCATCAGCAGAGCCTTGGCAGAAGATGCCATTGGGGCAGGATTGTGGGTGCTGGTGGTTTGGGATACCCAATCTGGGGTGTGTCATCCCAGAGCTGCTGCAAACATCACAGAGGAGAGAGAGCAGGTGCTTGGAGTTGGTCACGGGACTTTGCAGGCACAAAAGCACCTTCCCTGTTTTAGAAGGAGAGTGTGGAAATCAGGCTGTAGAATCAGCTTCATTGATTTTTTTTTTTTTCCCCCGGTGGCCTGATTCAGCATCTGCCAATGTAAAGCTTAGCTAGGGCTTGGTTTGGCTTCTGCAAGGAAAGAAATAAATGTAATTGATCCAGGATGCCCTTCTGCATCCCACTTAGTTGAACTCGTCCTGAAACTAGACAGGAGAGTAAAATGTGCTAAGAATACCATTAAAAGATTTTAAAGTGGGCACAAAACCAAAGCATGAACAGAAACGTGAGCAGACACCCTTTGTTGAAGCAGAAACAGTCTTTAAAAGACAGCAGAAGCAAAGGTAACTAGTACAAAACACTCCTGTTTAAAAGCAAAGTGTGTATTTTACCAGGGAGAAAGGAGAGAAAGGGAAGAAAACCAAAGCTCTGTGTGTGGGTTTGCAGGCGTGCTGGAAGAGGAAGGTGAAGGGGACAGTAAAATCTAGAAATCAATTAAATTTAATGTGAGAGTACAAGCCAGCACCACGTGGTAAGTAACTGCAGGACACTTTAGAGCGAATAACAGTTTTACCTGCATTCTTATGTTAATTTATTTGGATTTATTTACACTTTAAATCTGAACTTCCTGGATTCATAGTGTAAATTTCAGGGATGATTAGAATAAAATCTAGTGAGTATCATTGAGAATGTCTGAGACTTCTCTAGCACAGAACACAGGGCCAACTGTCGACATCTGCTATAAACTATTTTTATACAACTGGCTTGTGACTCCTTGGCTTGCTGACCACTAATTTTTGAGCATATAAGTAAAAATTACAGGATTTTACTCAAGCACAGTTGTTTACCATGTGTACAGCTGACACTGAAAGCAGACTCTTAGTCTTTTTAAAAAGTAAAATTATTCAGGCTTTAATTTGCTGGGTTTTGACAAACATTTATTAATGCAAGTCTCAGCAAAAAAAAATATTTCAATATTTTCAACCAGAAGGAATGTTACAGCTCTACACCACAAAGCCTCTATGATAAACACTTCTCATTTACCCTATTTCCACCCTGCTTTGTGTATCAAACTCAGAAACAACGTGTATAGATGGCTCTGCCATCTCCACTTCTGAGACAGCATGGGCCAAAAAACCTGTTAGCCGTCTTCATTCCCTCTGTAAAGCACAAATAACAAAATATATTTTTGCTTCTAAAAGAGCTTCACTTATCTGCAGAAAAATAGAACTGCTTAAGAGTGAGCAAGTTAGATTATTAAAAGGTACAAGCACACACCCGAATATTCTGCACCTCCCAACAAATCTGTGAGGAGGAAGCATTCACAATTTGATCCAACTAAAAAGGAGCCAGATAGTGTTGAAAGGAGATCCATCCTATCTAAAATGCTGAACGCCTTCTCATTCTTCCCTCTAGAGCAGGCTGAGGAAGACAGCTATGAAACATTTTTGCTAAGTACTGGAAACATTAAGAATGAACCTTCCAAACACTGCAAAACCTCAGAACAAAACCTAAAGAATCTTTTCTTTTTTTTTCCCCAAAACATAGTGAAAACAGCATACAGAGCTTGAATAGTCACAGCACAAACCAAAAAACAAAGGGAGTCCCATTTGATCTATAGTGCTTTTGTTAAGGTATTCAGAGACTTTAGTGCATTCTTATTAGAACTAAGCTTGGAAACTATATCCCATTTTTCATTTTATTAGAAAACTAAACCGTATGAGGCAAAGAAACATTTGATCAAACACACAACAGTGAAAACATGGCACTTACAAGGCATTTAACCCAACCATTATCACAAACTCTTGGTTCAGGATTCTCTATTGCTTTCAGTCAAGTGTACATCATTTCTGCCATGTGAGACATTTTCTTGGGAATATACAGGTAGTATTCCATGTATCCTGAAAGATCTTCAATAGTCACGTCATCCACAAAGGCTCGAGCTTGCTCAGAACAAGATCGAGGAGAACCTGCTGAGGCTGTCCCGCAGGAGGATCTATTCTGAAGAGACTGGGCGTGGACTCCCAGGACTGCCTTTTCGCACTCTGACAGGACGCTCCGCAAGCCAGAGAAAGAGTACACCTCCATGGTTCGCCACTGCTTGCACTGGCACTTCTTGTCCGTGCAAGGGCACTGCTTGCCGTTGCTAAGCATGGATAAGGACTGGAAATCTGAGGTTTGGCTAGAATGCAAGCTGGTTTCAAAGGATGAAGGGAGAGCAGGGCAATTCTCTCTTGACTTCTCCAATGGCTCTTTGGCAATGAGAGCTTCCAAAGGTTGAGTTCTGTCATTGCTGGTCTCAAGGTGAGAATCGTTCCTGTCCTTCGTACCGTGTTCTGCTGTAACAAAAATGTCTGAACTGATACTACCCTTTGATGTGTCTGCCTGGGTTTTGTGTTTCAGCTGGCTGTTGGCTTTCGTATTGCAATACGTAAACTTGGGAGGATGCAGGACAGGAGATTTGGAGCGTCTGCGACGAGGGACTCTTGCTGATCCTCTGGAAGGCTTTCTCACACACCTGCAGGGTTATGACAGGTGAGCAAGTAGGTAACTCCAAAATCCACATCATAGCTCAGTAAGCTCTAAAATGAGGCTAAAAATGTTTTGGAAGATTTTATTCTTATTTTTTTTTTCCTTAGAAAAATCAAGTGACTGGTCACTTACAATCTCTGACAGGAACAATGGAGGAGTCTGAAGACATCGGGGCTCCCCCAAAGGAAAGACACATACAAACAGCCCTTATTCAAAGGTACTTCCCCCAGATTTTCTGTGTTAAGCAAATAATAGTTTGTCATCCCAAAATGAACTGTAGTGCAGGACCTGGACATCAATTAAGCTGCTGGCAGAATTGCACTGAGTATCCAGGTACTTCAATACAGAAATACAATAACCAAAAAAAGATGTTGCAAAGGTGTAAGGCTTGAAGAAAACGACTTCTGACGAAATCAGTGGAAAAGCAAGTTTTAGGTATCCTCTATAACAGAGGAGGAAATACTGGTTTTTAAAGTCTTTGATGAAAGCCCCTTAAAAAACATTATATCAAACAGTTATGGTAAAGTTTTGTAATAGAAAGGAAAGAAAAAGATATGCTGAAGCAACTAATTAATGACTTTCACTGGAAACAGTATGAGAGTGCTAAATATCTCAAACCAGAAGCACGTGCAAGGGTGCAGCGAATGGTGTTTTACCCATGCCACGCTTCCTTCGAGCAGACAGTCTGCTGCTTGACTCCATCCATGGCTGCTCTTGTTGGTGTCCTCAGAATCGTCCCATCGCCCACAGACAGAGCTGCAATACATCTGTGTAAAAAGAGAAATGCCACATTACAGCAGTGCTTGAATACACTGCTTCAGAGGTCTAGATTCAGCCTGTTCGCTTTAGATGCTTAGCTAAGACATTTAAGCTTGCAGACTTGACTTCAGTGCTTAGAAACTGGCTGGCACAGAGATATATCTAACTGCTTTTACTATATTGACCTCAATCAAGTTTCTAAAGATAGGTGACATGAAATGAAGGGAGGCCAAAATGCCCACAGGCTGATGTCATGCCCTATTTGTACCAAAATGACACATTAAAGGAATGTGAACTCAGGTTCCAAACGTCCTCATCAGACAATGGTTGTTAAAGACTCCTAGTCATCTAAAATGCAGTCAGGAACCAATAGCAGCAGGCTGAGGAGGACTCAGTGGAGAACTGGATGAGGTACAACAACAGATGAGGACAGATTACTAATTCATTTCTCATTAAATTTCCCAGACAAACATGGAATGAAAAAAACATCTGATAGTGGAGGTCCAGGCAACATAAATGCCTCAAAACATGCATCTGTATTTCTGATGGCTGTATGTGTGATTTGGAAGATGGGATAGGAAATAGTAAGAAATTAGGTTGAAATTTTCACAGAAGGGCCCAAGTACTCTGCCCAAAGTTGGACTTAAGAGATTAGCCACAAGACTTGAGCCATTCAAAACACATGCCTGCAAAACAACATCTTTTTATGCCTAAGAAGATACAATCAGGAATCAACCAGAATCCCACACAGTCTGTCACTGGTAATGTATCAAAAGCAGTATGCTTAATAAGCCTAGTTCCTTCTTAAAGAACAGCTATTTTCTTTTCACATTTAACAGATCTCCTGAAGTAAAGGAAATAAGCAGCAAAGCAAAATATATTTTAACATGCAGAGGAAACCATGAGTCTGCAGTATTGATGGCTATGGAGATGAATTCACAAGGTAACATTTTCAATACCAAACTTTCTCTTTTCTGTCAATTCTCAAAACACTTCAAGTGAACTATCTCACAAAGTGTGAGACTGCATAATTTTACTAACTTCTGCTTTTAAGGAAGACACTTATACTACATATCATCAGTATGCCCAGTGTGTTTTTAGTACAAGAATGCCTGCAGACATTTTACTCTACAAAATCCCCCGAAATCAGAAATGATCAGTGCTCCTATTTAGCCTAACAATTTCCAGTGAGACTGGGCCCTCCAACACACTATGAAGTGTTGGTGCTGGCCTTCAGATGCTTTCCAAGCAAATCCTCATGCACTGCAGTAAAGGTTGATAACGTGGCTGAAGAGACCTGCGTTTACATGAATGGACACATGTTCTGTATCACAACAGGTGACTACAGCTACCGTAATAGTTAAGATTGGGTTTGCTGCTTTGGGTGAGTCATTTCATGTTTTTATACAGTCACTGTGTAATTTCAGTTGGATATTGTGCCCAAATTAGTCAGTAATAAAGTGTACTGCTTTGCCTATTAGACAGTTAAACCAATTGTATTTCATGTGAAGTGATGCAGTTGTCTCCTCTTAGACAGTAAGGAACCTTTCACCAAATTACATTTGAGATTCAAAGTAATAGAAAACAAATATAAATATGTTAGAGGCAAAAGACAAATTACACTGTGCTTTTTATGGCTCACTTACCCTGCTGCATCCACCCTGAGCTTTTTGAAAGCTGTTTGCAGGCTCTCTTCCTCTTCATCTTTAGCTTCCAACTCCATTGATAGGCTCTTAGTGTGTAACCAGCTGTGCCATACAGAATAAAGTGAAATACAGAAATTAGGATTCGATGCTGAGGTCTGAATGCACATGGTCTCTACAAAACTGCAACAATAAGTGTAACGGATGCTTGTTCTTCTGTGGGCAAACTCACTGCCTTCTGACCAGACCTGTCCGGTGCAGCTCACTGTGAACTCCAAATGCTGCGTTTCTCAGAACAGTCACAGCCTGTGTCAAAAATAACAAAGTGCCTTTTTTTTCACTGGGCGAACAGACGATATATATTTTCTGTCAACTAGTACCACCTCAGGGTGAAGTGCGAGCACGACACCGCCAGAGCAG